CCATACCAATTAAAAACAATGAAAACAAAACCCCAAAACAAAGGGGGAGGAAAAGAGATTCCCTAAGATGTCACAGCGAGGGCGGGGCAGGATGACTGAGGGCGCTCAGCTGAGACTTTCACTCTCAGCTGCGGCTGGCGGTGGTGAGTCTGGCCTCTCGGCTCCTTTCTCTCCGCTTCTGGCTGGGCAAAATAATTTTCTGGTAGTTTTAGAATTACAGTATCTGAATTCTGCAAAACATAGAAATGGTTACAGACCAAAATGCACACCTTACATAAACATTTAAATAGAACATTTGTATTCAAAAGTCATTCTACACACTACATTTTCATAAAAATATAAAAAATAGTTCATCTTTGACCAGGTTCTTCTTCCTTCTCAGCCCCCTCCTGGTGTTCCTGAAGGATGCCACCTGCAGCCGGGTGCTGGACAAGGTCTTGGAGGTGTCTGACCCAAAAGCCTTGCGCTCTTTCTACAAGGCACACATCAAGGGGCAGTTGCGGGTCCTGGCAGAGCATGGGATGGCCAACTTCACCTTGCAGCGGCTCATCCAGGCTGCCTCCCGGAAGCTGGTGAGTAGGGAAGCAGCACAGCTGCCCCTTGGAGGCTGGATGAAAACTTTCCATTTGCCCTTATATGATGCTACTGATCTCCTTTCCATCCTGTGGCAGGCCTTCTGATTGGGAACCCTTTGCCGCTATGCAGTCATAGCCCTATAATTCCAGTTTAACTGCTATGGCAACGTCCTATGGAATCCTGGGATCTGCAGTTTAGGGAGGAGCTTACAGAACTAGGAGCTAGCATGGCATAGTGGTTTGAGCTTTGGACTATGACTCTGAGGACCAGGATTTGAATCCCTGCTTGGCCATGGAAACCCACTGGATGAAGTTGCAGACTCTCAGCCTCAGAAAACCATGGTATAGGCTCGTTTTATGGTCAAAATAACTTGAAAGAGCACAACAACATACAGGATTGCTATAATTGTGTAATTTCAGTGCAGCCTGAGTTTCCATGTCATCTTCATATGGAGCTGGTGTTGAAAGTGTTTTGATTTGGGCTTAAAATAATCAACTACGCCAGGGTTGGAGAATCTGTGGCTCTCCGACATGGTGGAACTTCAGCTTTCCTCTACCTCAGATGGCATAGCCAAGAATGATAGAATTTATAGTGTAAAAGTATCTGGATGTCCACAGGTTCATTTTCCCCAATCTCCACTCTTGTGCGCACTCTTCATTTGTGGAAGATTGGAATATAAATATGTGATAGGAGTGAACCTTCATCTCCCACCCCAGAACATGTTTTTATCCTTTCCCTATAAAATCAGACAAAGGTGTGCAACTGGGAATGAAAGAATCAAGCAGCACCTTTAGACTCATTGATTTATTTTAGTGAGCTTTCGAAGGTGTCTGAAGAAGTGGGCTGAAATCCATGGAAGCTTATTCTAACCATTTAGTCTCAAAGGTGCTGCCAGGTTCCTTCATCCCCTCCCCTCCTTTTTCATTTTATGCTGAAACCAGACAACATGGCTGTCTCTTGACAACTATTGTTTCTTCCTTGTTGCTTCTCCAGTTGGGACAGCTGTTTGAGGAACTGAGCCCAGGTGTGGAAGAGATCATGGCCCATGAGCACCTGGGAGTAATCACAGCACTTCTGGGGGCCTGCAGAAAATGGGGGGCTCACCAGCCGGAGGTGCTGCAGATCCTCATGGAGGTAAGGCATCCTGCCTTCTGCCCCCTTTCCTCCTCCCCCTCTGTAACCTGCATCCTTTTGCTGAGTCTGATCTCACGCCTCACCTGGAATACAGCAACCAGTTCTGGGCACCACAATTCAAAAAGGATGTTGACAAGCTAGAGCATGTCCAGAGGAGGGCAACCAAAATGGTGAAAGGTCTGGAAACCATCAAGTCCTATGAGAAGAGACTTAGGAAGCTGAGTATGTTTAGCCTGGAGAAGAGAAGGATAAGGGGTGATATGACAGCCCTTTTAAATATTTGAAGGGATGTCATATTGAGAATGGTGCAAGCTTGTTTTCTGCTGCTTTAGAGAATAAGACAGGGAGCAATGGATGCAAATTACAGGAAAAGAGATTCCACCTAAACATTAAGAAGAGCTCCCTGACAGTAAGATCTGTTCAACAGTGAACACACTCCCAGAGTGTGGTGGAGTCTTCTCCTTTGGAGGTTTTTAAACAGAGGCCATCTGTTGGGTGTGCTTTGATTGTGTATTCCTACATGGCAGGGGGTTGGACTTGATGGCCCTTGACGTCTCTTCCAACTCTATGATTCCTCTTTCCTCTCCTTCAGGCTTTTCACTGCTGGGAACCTCCTTCCCGCCAAGTGTTGTGCGTTCCTCTGATTGCTTCTGTATTGGCTTATGAGGTGTATTATGGTGAAGAGAAAGGGGAGGATCAGTCACAGTGTCAGGTAAGTTACACCAGAGAAAAGGAGTGATACAGCAAAGATGGATTGTGCTCCATTTGGCTTCTTTTCACTCCACTTCATTTCTCTTCTTCCTGAACTGGGCAGGGCTTTGAGTTCTGGTCTGTTAGTAACCTGGGTCAGCAACCAAAGCACTATACCATGTTGGCTTTTCTGCTTTTACAAGAGGGTATTTAAAAATTTATCCCTTTAAATCTAACAATAGAGTTCTAGAGTGCACCAACTAAAGTTTCGTTTTTGACTATAGTCTTAAAAAGTAACTATAAAAGTAAGATATGCCTAGGAGTGGTGTGGCGTGGAGACTCAGATTGAGGGCCTTTACAGACTGCCAGAAATAATGCAACTTGAGGCCACTTTAACTGTTCTGGCTCAGTGCTAGGGAATCATGGGATTTTTTTCTGGGACATTGAGCCTTCTCTGTCAGAGAGCTCTGGTGTCACAATAAACTTCAGTTCCCATGATTCCTTAGCACTGAGCCAGGGCAGTTAAAGTGGCCTCAAGCTGCATTATTTCTGCTAGTCTGTAAAGGCCCTGAATCTCCCTTATCCAGAATTCTAAAATCCAACATTGTGCATATGGATGGCTAAGGGAGTGACATCTTTGCTTTCTGACGGTTCAGTGTATACAAACTGTTTCATGCACAAAATTGTGAACAATATTGTGTCTAAAATCACCTTCAGGCTATGTGTATAAGGTGCACATGAAACATAAATGAATTTCATGTTTAGATTTGGGTCCCATCTTCTAAGACAGGGGTAGGCAACCTTTCCCCTTTAAGGGCCGAGGGACTTCAGCTCCCAGAAGCCTCAGCCATGTTGGCCAATAGTCCCATGTTGGCCAATAGCTCCTGGGATTCTGGGAGCTGAAGTCCCTCGGCCCTTAAAGGGGAAAGGTTGCCTACCCCTGTTCTAAGATCTCTCTCTCTCTCTCTCTCTCTCTCTATATATATATATATATATGTGTGTGTGTGTGTGTGTGCGTGCAAATATTCCAAAATCCAAAAAACTCATAAATCCAAAACAGTTCAGGTTCCATCCATTTTGGTTAAGGGAGACTCAACTTGTATAGTCTATCCTCTGAGGAGCAGTAGAGGTGAAGTGATACAATATGGGTTAAGTCATTTTTGTTAGCTATGCCATCTCTCACTGTTTCTGTACATGTCTATCTTTCCTCTAGGTGAACACATCCCGTCCCTTGAGTTCAGTCTCCTACCATGGCTCCTTGATGCTCCAGCATTTACTACACTTTGCAGACCCCTCTATGGTACTACGCAGCTTAGGGGCCATGACCCCTAAGGATCTTGTCACGCTGGCTTGTGATCCTGCAGGAAGCCATGTCTTTGATGCTCTCCTAGCCAGTCCCTCTGTCCCTGAAAAACAGAGGCGAAAAGTGCTGCGGCTCCTCAAGGTAAGCTCTGGATGGGCCTGTTAGTATCTGGGTCAAAAAATGCTCATAATCTGAGATTCCTCAGTTATGTTCTGGCTAAAGTGTGCTGTTTATGCCATCCAAGACATGCTTACATTTCATTGACTAGATCACATTGGACAAACTATAGAACAGTTCCAGGTAATGTCATTATCCTGCTGTATTTCTAGTGCTACTACATAATGGCAGAATTTGGTATTGGATGTAAGATTCAGCCTTTGTGGCATTTCATTAAGAAAAAGAATGTTTCTACTCCTCAAGGTAAGAATGAAGTGCTGTGTGCATGTCTTGATGGAACTCAGAAGCTAAATGGATCTGAATTTTCTGTAGTCAGCAGAGTGGGGTTCTAGTGACCCAGTACTAGTGGGAATGGATTGGATTATTTTGGATTGACAAAGCTTTATAGGTGGACAGTTTTTCTCCACACCACCCAATTTGAGAGTAGAAAAAAAAATCACAATTGGAAGTCACTACTACATGCAATGTGTGTATTGTCAGGGCGTAAACAATGTATATGATTTAATTACCTCTGTCCTTTCCCTCTTTTTTTTCTTCAATCTCCAGGGTTGCTATCTATCTCTGGCTTGTAACAAGCATGGAAGCCGGGTCCTGGATGCCATTTGGAGCAGGGCCAGTCTGCCAGCCAAGCAAGAGATGGCTCAAGAGTTGGGTAGGGCTCTTGTTTTTCTTTGATCCATTGCCTTGATCCAGGATGGTGGTGAGAGGAGTCCCTCAAGACAGGAGAGTCTAGAATGAATGAATAGCTACTAAAGCATGGTTAATCCACTTGAACTCTTTCCACAATTTGTGTCAACTGGGTTCTCTTTCCCCCTCAGAAGCACCTGCCTTGTCCTCCCATTGTGAACCACACAGTGAGCTCAATAATAGTTTTTTTTGTGGGTTTTTTCAGGCTGTGTGGCCATGTTCTAGAAGAGTTTCTTTCTGACGTTTCGCCAGCATCTGTGGCTGGCATCTTCAGTGAAGATGCTAGCCATAGATGCTGGCGAAACATCAGAAAGAAACTCTGCTAGAACATGGCCACACAGCCTGAAAAAACCCACAAAAAAACTATGGATGCCGGCCATGAAAGCCTACGACTTCACAGCTCGATAATACTTTGTGAGATGCAAGACCAGGCTTTTTCAACTTGGCACCCCAGTTGTGGAATGCCCTCTCCTTGGAAGCCCAGTTGATGCCAACATTGATTTCATATAGGCATCAAGTAAAAAACATAGCTATTTAGTAAAACTGTCCTCACTGATGTATTATGCACAGGTTTTTAAAACTATTTTCATCTTTTAAACCTGTTTTAACTTCTTAATGTGTTTACTATGTTGTCCGGCCATTTGAATTACATTTATTCTTTTATATCATTTCAATCTCTTAGGGCCTGAACAGACTGCCAGAAATAATCCATCTTGAATCCACTTTAACTACCTGGCTCAGTGCTAGGAAATCATGGAAACTAGTTTATTGTGGCACTAGAGCTCTCTGACAGAGAAGGCTCAATGCCTCAGCAAAAACTACAATTCCCATGATTCCCTAGCATTGAGCCAGGACAGTTAAAGTGGTCTCAAGCTGGATTATTTCTGGCAGTCTGTTCAGGCCCTTAGTATTGGATCTATCTCCCAGAGATCTCGATATAGGGTGGGTTATGTAAATGATAATGGGCTCAGATTTTTGGTCCATAGAGCCCAGTGCTGTTTGCTTTGACTGGCAGCAGATCTTCAGGGTCTTAGGGAGGAAGAGGCTTTTCCTGTCTCACCTGCAATGTGGTGATGGTTTTTAGGAAAGGTGCAGGCACTTTCAGTCTGAGCAGGGCTTCTCCTTCCTCCACCTCCCATTCTCCAGCTTCTCTAACCCTGTGTGTCTCCTCTCATCTTTCTAGCTGAGCATGAGCCACAGCTCCGGCATGACCCCTTCGGTCATCATGTAGCCCGCAACTTTGCCTTGACCCACTTCCTCAAACGCCGCAGGGATTGGGACCGCCACCAGGAGACAGAGAA